ATATATAATCTATAATATATATATATAATCTATAATATAAAACATGCTTATAAAGTATGACATCTAAATCTAAATTTAAATCTAAATACATTAGTAATCATGCACGGATATACTAATTAACTTTAGTTGGGCCAAAACAAATTGTTTTTCTATGATTTAGAGCCTTGTATCTAGACATGGCCACGGGCCGACCCGGCCCGTGGCCCGACCCGTGACCAGGTACCGGCCCGACCCGGCCCGGTACCGGTACCGACATGAATAGTGCCGGTTTTCAGAACCGGACCGCGGCCAATCCGGTCCGGTTAAGGGTCACGTTTTTTTTTTTTTGTCCCGGTGGGCCGGGCCGGGCCGGGCCGGGTCGCACCGGTTCACATTGCTTTTTTTGTGGATTTTTAAGGGCCGTACCGGCCCGGAACCGTCCGAGACCCGCCGGGCTGTTGAACCGGCGGTTCCGGGCCGGTTCTATGAACCGGCCCATATGTTTTTTCGGGCCGGTTACGGGCCATAATATTGAGGCCCGCCGACCCGGCGGGCCGGGCCGGGCCGCGGCCCGGCACCTGGTCACCTCTACTTGTATCATTTAGGCCCAAAAAATGTAGGGTTATTAATTAAAATTGACCCACCTATTCTACAAAAGATATCGTAAAGTCAGTGTTAATTAATCTATATCCGACGGCAAGCTTTTCACGGGACGGGGTATATATATCAAAAAAGTCGGAAGTGAGGGTTAATGTTTCCTCTCATTTCCACCACACCGACTTTCTCCTTCCTCAACAATCTACCATCTACCATTTTTTCACAATATATTTTTTTTTTCAATTTCAGTATTAAATCTACCATCTACCATTTTCACAATTTAATTGTTGTGGATTTTTAAGATATTTGCGGATTAATTATTTGTACTAATCTATTAAGGGATAATATCCGATTTATGTTATTAAAAATATCCCATCAATTCAAATCGGATCTCTTTCATATAGTAATGATTAGTTGGCAAATTAAAAGACAATTTCGATGCAAAAATATGGCAAAATATCGGTAGGACAATTTCGTAACCGATGTATGCGATTTTGTTGAAATTTGTTAACAAATTTTCGATATTTTAGGTTAAACAAAAAAAAGGAATTAGTTAAAAAATGGGAAAAGACGTGTGCAAAAGAACAATTAAGTGAGATAATTTAGGTAAGGCAATCTCATCTCATTTTTTTTAACAAATTAAAAAATCGAACATAAAAAATTGCCCATTCGATGCACAGGGCATTTTTAAAAGGTATTTTTGCATTTAAGTTGTCTCTTGACATTAAAAATATCATAAAAATAAAATTTATATATTATTGAACACTTCCTTATGTACAACATTTTTGATTTGATTTTATGGCACGTAAAATACTAAATGGGTGTTCGAATTTTATCTAAAATTGCGTATTATTAGTTATTAGCTCACAAATATTACATTTTTTTCTAAAAAAAATTAAGGATCTTATTTATTAAAAAAAAAATATAGTCGGAAAAAAGTAAAGATTTCTAGGAATTTTCATGCCATTTTTTAATCTAATTCAAGACTTTAATTAAGAAAAATTGAAAAGAATCATTAGTTTTTTTTTCTAAAAATAAATTGAATTTTCATACGAATACACCGATTTTTTTACCAAACAAACTAATCCAAATATTTGTACCTTTTATGACTTTGATAGACATTGTGAGACTTTTATAACAAAATCTCACCAATTTGATGAGATTTCAACTAAGACTTTGTCTTTGTAATTTTATTGAAAAAAATCTCCGAAAGTCTTCCAATTAAAAATGTCTTATAAAATCTTTCTATTTTGAATAACGGGTGACTTATTGTCGCTCTTAGAAAGTGTCAATTGAATATACTTAGAATTCTAGAGATTTATAAAAAGTCTTTAAAATTCATGCACTTTTTAGAAGTGTCAAAAAATTTCAGTTGAATACAACAAAATACAAAATTTTGAAAGTCTTAAAAAAAATCCTATTTGAATACACACTCCTTTGTTTGGGATATTTTCTTAATGATATTATTGATATGTATCGAAGAGGCTTCTATAAAGTAAGATGTTGATTTTCCAAATTATTTGGACGAATGTTTCATTTTGATAAGAAAAATCAACATTGTAATTGTTTTCTTTTTTAATTGGCAAAAGTCTTCTATTCATATGTAGAATAACGAAACATGAATTAATTTATTAATTATGTTACGTTATTTTTAAACAAAATCAATCAATTAATTAATTAAACATAAAAGGATTCAAAATTGGCGTTAGGATGACATGAGATTGAAGATTATTTATTTCGAAATGCAAGGATTGATTGATTATCTTAATTACGTAATTTAAGTTTTTTTCTTAAATTTATGTTAATTAATTAACCGGGTACGACCTGCATAATTATTGCCTTAAGTAGTATGTATTTATTAAAGAGGTAAGTCAAACCTTTATTTTTTAAAGTCAACCTTACTATTTTTGTATTTTTCCAACAACCTTTTTATATTATTATAGATAGATTATAGATATACATTATAAATTTATAGAAGAAAATGTTAACATATTTATCCACATCACTTAATCTTCATATTTCGGGAAACAAAAAACAAATGCCCTTTTACATATTAAACATAATTTCTTTTAAAGAAAAAATAAAACATTGAAAATAAAACCATAACAAAATCATTATATTTATTTTATATTAAAAAATTCCTTAAAAATATGAAGACGAAAATTTTATTGACAAATAATGTAAAAAAAATTATATTTATAATGTTAAAAAATTCATAGAAAAGAATCATCCAATTGGTGGCTTTTATGTTGTGTGGTGGGCTATACACATATTATTACTAGACTTAAGAGAGGTGGGCTGCGGGCTCACATTTAAAAATCCACACACAATAATTGGTTAATATGTGTCCGCACACAGAGTAATAATATTCCTACGAACCAACGAACTCAACAGCCGATGTAGGAGATTGGACCTCAAAGTCCATATCCAAATACACTTTTATGGAATTTTCACAATAATAATAAACCTAACCTTATCACAAAACCCTACAATCCGAACCAACTTACCCAACTAAAATAGGGTCCAATTGAAAGCCCAATTCTACTTTCTCTCTCCTCCAAACCCTAGATCTGAAAATCGCCGGAAATCGCCTGCTCCGCCTTGGGGTCAACCGTAAATTCCAATATTTCTCCGTTTTCCGACGAATAACTCGTGTGTTCTCTGGTATGGATTGATTATCTTGGGATTTGTTATGACATCTTTCGAAAGTTTCAGTCATCGTTTATGTTTGATTTCTGTTTTATTTTGGATTAAGAGCTCTGGTAGACTGGAATGGTTTTCGTATGCGTTGGTTTTGTTATTTTTCTTTTTTAATTGTCTGGAGATCGTCAGCAAAGAAGGTTGTTCGACTGTGTTTACTCTTACTTGTATCGTTATCGTTGCTATTAAGGTTTGTTATTTAAAAGTTCAAATTTTTGTGGCGCCCTTCGTTGTTACGCTGTCTCTGTATTTTCTTAGCCTACTGGGCTTGAATTTAAAGATCTGGTAAGAATTCTAGTCTTTGTTGATGTTCAGTTACGTAAAAGCTTCAATTGTGTAGGTTTAAGAATGTTCATGAATATTGTTTCTGAGAGTATGGGCTTGTGTTTTTTTTTTTCTTTAATTGAAGGCCGTTGTTGATTAGTCTTTGGTTTGGTGTTTTCAGTATGTGGGCTCGGGTGTTAATTTTTCTTTTTAAAAAGCAATGGTGCCTCACTGCCCTGTGGAGAAAAGTTTGTCTTTTGGATTCTTGTAAGCCTGTAGTCTCGATAGCATGTACTTTCTATTCCATAGTATTCTAAGAACTCATATCTTTGAGCTTGCTTGCTTGCTTGGCTGAGTGGGGCCCATTTAGAAGAGCTACTTAATTGAAATATGCTAATTGCAAAATAACCCATAAGATTTTAGATAATTTACTAAAAAGCAAAAGTTTTTATTTTATTATTATTATTTTTTTTT